GATTATTGGCTTTATTCTCAGTTTCGTAGTCTCAAATGTTTGTGTGAATATTCACATTGGTCAATGTGTTTCTATGCATGTTGACACTATGCAAGCCAACTTGATTTTAACATAATGGTCTTGTCTTGTCTTGATGTAATTGTGGCTCAATTAGAATTTTCTGAAGTTATGACATTATTGACAATAGGACACATGTAAATATTAGAGTGAACATTCACATTATACTTATTGCTAAAAGAATGGCCACATGAGTTTGGTCAATGTGGTTATGTGAATATTGATGCTGAAATAATATGCAAATGTTTCCTTTATGTTGTGAAATTTTATTCCTGTCAATATGAGAAGTTTACATATGTTGGTGCTATCTCAGTGGCCTATGTGAACATTCACACCTTGATTAATTCCACTATTACTTTTGTTTTCATATCCACATTCATGTGAATATTCACATCTTTACTATTGATGTTAACGTTATATTGTAAGCTGCATTTCAATGTTGATGTTAACAACCCTGTGAATGTTCATATCAATGGTGTGGATGTTTTCAACACTGTTGTTGTCACCAAAAAAATGCAATTCTCCACTCTTGTGGTCTGAATGTGAACATACATGCCAAATAAATTTGTGCTAATGCTAACACAAATGCAAAATCTAACCCTATTCCATTCAATCCTTTATCAGATGTGAATGTTTACATCATTGTCCATACATGCGAACATTCACATCAGTGCCCCAAGATGTGAATTTTCACACTTGTGCTCAGATATGTGAATGTTTACATCAGTATTTCAAATGTTCGCATCAATGTTTTCATAGTAGGAAATAGGAAACTCAGTTGATTTTTTGTATTGCATGAATATTATGTTAATGTGTATGCCCCATGTAACAGACGTTGCACACAAGCGAAAAAGGGACGAATATCATGTCAAAATGAAGGCCCAGCTGCAGCTAACTGCATAAATGTTGACATGCATCGTGTCAACTGCAAATCCGCATGACAGGCTTGGTGAAATTAATGAAAGCCACAAAGTTTACAAAACCGCAACTTGGCTGCCTGAGACAAACCACATTTTGGCAATTATTGGACGCACCCACATTTAAGACAATTTAGTACAAATAGTTTTGACATATTGGAACAAATTAGCTTGCTTGTAAATCAATACTATATAATTTCTTGTATTGCTAACTTTGATTCACCATATATATATATATATATATATATATAAAAGTGTGAATATTCACATTATGGTAATGAACATAGTGAAAACGTATTCACCATTCAATATTATATAGGTGTGTAAATAATATTAATACCAATTGACAACACAATCACAAATTTTCATTTCAAATTAATGTGAATATAATGACAGTCAACATCTTGATGCATGGGAACTACTAGAACAAAATGACAATCAATATCCATGTTTATTTTTTGTGTGTATTATATATCAAGATTAAATATAAGGGTATAAGAGTCTAAGAAAATAGTATAAATCAAGAAAGAGGACCTTATGGAATAAAAGTATAAATAAATGGGACTAAATAGGTTACAAATTTCCTTCATGGACTTCTTTGGTTAGAACACTCCTAAATGAGATTTATCAATAAAAATCCCTTATCAATTGATTTAATTTTTTTTAAATCAACAACAATAGTATTCTATTACTAATGTATATATCTTTTGACGGAAGGGGGATGCTCCTGCTACCACTCAATTGGTGGTGTTACATGCACCTTAGTGCATTAACTAGTGTATCAACTAGTGTTATAACATTATTATTGATCCTACCCATTATATAAATTACAAATATCCAAAAATTTTAAAATTATGTCACATCATCTATTAATACACTAATTAGTATATTAATTGATACATATAGCATTATTATTAAAGAATTGGCCACGTTAATAAATAGGATAGTTTACAATTTTTCCCCTTCAAAGTATGGATTACTTTTCAATTTGATCATTAGGGGAAAAAAAATTTTCCATTTTAATCTCTTAATTATGTTATGTTTTCACATTTATATTAACTGTAAGTATAATTTTAAAATTAAATTGTTGACATAAATATGATCTGATTAAGTGATTATTGATATCCAATCAACATATTTTTGCATGAATGAAGTACTTGACGAGCCTTCCACATTGAATGATTCAAATTATTGACGTAGGCTTCGTAATAAACCTACTGAGACTCAACAACATTCTCTAATTGATTTTTTTCCAATTGGAGAGATGTCTCTCCCTAAATATAATTTCCATAGCATTATTATTTGGAATAATAATAATACTACATTGATGGTAGACATGAGTAATAAGTCCTATTTAAATTATTTCCAATAAATAATAAATAAAATATAATACATAAATATAATTTTTATAACAGTATTATGTAATTTATTTAGTTAGGGTAATCAATGAATTTTTTATTTTTTTTATTTTTTTTGAAGAATTGACTTGGGTGATCAATTATTTATGAGCAGTCTTTACCTTTCTATAGTATCTGCAATTACGACATTTCATCATATTTAACATTTTGCTTCCCTTTTGTATCTAAAATATGAAGTCTAAAATTCAGATCAATAGACATTTAACAATTTTGCTTCTCCTCTTGTGGTTGTAATTTTAATTATAATTGAAAAGCTTTTTAGATATGTATGAAAAATATTTAATTATAATTTATGAAGTTAGTGTTAAAAAGTGATTTGGCTATAAAACTTGCATATGGTACATCTTTTTTTGAAGGGTGTGTATTGTATCATCGCTCATATGATTTAGTGGCTTACCAAAATGCAAATAACTAAAAAAGAAAAGAAAAGAAAAAAAGAATTGAGCTTCTGTACAATTCATACTTGGATTGAAAGGTGTTGCCCGAGTCGGGGGCTCATCATCGGTTTTATTTTGATAATTTAAACTATTTATTTTGTAAGGTCGTCCATGTATATCATTCATCAAAAAATTAAGTAGATCTAATAATTGTAATATTTTCATTTTATCATGTTTGTCTAAACAAAAGTGTGCAAAAAATGTGTTTTTGAAAATTAATCATCCCTTTTTTTTCTTTCTGTTGAAGCAAAAGCTATTAAATGAAAAGGTTACAATAATAGGATTGACCAAATGTGAAAATGTAAGATGCTGACTGTCATAATTGAATGTTAAGAGACTAAAATGAGATTTCGATCAAAGTACAACGCTAAACATACCAAAACTTACAGCTAGCAGAAGTTGGCAATCGAACTTAGCTCCTACTATAAGATGCTATTTCAAGGGCTACAACCCACTTTTCTAGAACTTTTAAAAAAAAAAAAACAATCAATTTGCAGTTCTCAAACTAAGATTCAATATACATGTTTCTCAAATTGGACCGACCATATTCAATTTCTAGAGCTAACTATCGTCCAATTGATCTTTGAAATTTTCCAATAAAAAACAAACTGAAATCTCAAACAACACCAACGTAGACCAAATTAATAGAATCAATCCAACCCTCAAGTGAAGAGACCAAGTTGAGACTTCCAAACTTGAACACGGTTTTTAAATCGCAATTGCATGTTAAAACAAATTATACCAACGTAGTATTTGTGCTTCTCTATTTCTTCTCTCTTTTTATTTATTTATTTATTTATTTATCTTTTAATTGTTATTTGCACAGTTGTAAACACAATTATTGGTTCCTATGTAAACTAACACCTTAAGGGCATGTTTCATTAACAAGATAAGAGTATGAGACTAGAATTATTAATCCGTGGACCTAATAATCTTGTGTTTGTTTTGAAATTTTATTTTAGAATTATAAATCTAATGGATAATTAATCCAACAAATTTGTAGGATTATTAGTAATGAGGTATAAGTGAGATTATATTTCCTGAGTTGGAAAATATAATAAAAAGACTCTTTTACCCTTGACTAAAAATTAAAAAACTTATTATTTTTATATAATTTTATATTTTAGAAGGCTAAAAATAAGTTTTAAAAATTTTAAAATATTTTTTGATATTTATTTCATCAAATTAGTCTATATTTAAAAAAAAAAAAAAAACCAAACGTGATCTTTGTATTTTGTATTTTTATTTTGCTTTTATTTATTTATTTATAATTTTTTTCAAAACCATGTTTCTGAAGAAATTTTGATAAAGTAAAGATTGTGAAGAAACATTGATGGAGGCCAAGATTCGAAAAGAAAATAAATATAGTTGTAATCCTAAATTCATATGTTTTCTTATCCAATGCAAATCAAACAATGGACAAGGGAATAATTTACCCTACTAATCCAACTGGATAGTAAATACCACACTAATTTGATGGAATTATTAATACGCTCACTATTAAACTTGGGAATCACACATGGCCTAAATCTCTTGATTTGTTAAGGAAATTCATTTTATTCTGGAAAAACTAGTGAAGCAGCAAGGTCTTACGAGAAGCATTTTACGAAAGAAGAAACTCATGAAAAGGAACTACTAATAATTAATGGCAGTTGCAAACAGCGGATTGATTTCTTTGAGTTGATGACAATTATGAAATTCCAACAATTTTTCAAAACACTTTGTTTCAATATATTCTACTCCTTCCCTGAGCATTTAAAACCATTCCACCGAACTATTAAAACCAGGAAGTGAATGAGTTTAACATGCCCTCTTTGGTAACCAGAACTATCTAAATCTTACTTGAGTGAATGAATTACTGTGGTCAAAAAAGGGCTCACATATAAAGCAACAAAATTGATAATCACAGTGACAGTAGGAGCTATGCTATGTACATCAGTTGTATTTCAACGTTAATTGATGAATGAGGAATCTATTTGTAATGCAAGCTTAAAACAGAATCTAAACATCAAAAGATGATAGAAGCATAGCATCACAGACCAAGAAACTAACAATAACAAATACTTAAACAGATAGAGAGATGATAGTAGCATAGCATCGCAGACCTAGAAACTAACAATAACAAATACTTGAACAGATAGAAATATAGAACAGCTAATCGAGGGACATACCATCTGCTGAAGAAAGAAGTAGAAACATGTAGGACAATGATCAAACAGGTGATAGGCTTTCAATGAATTGATAAGTAGTATTACACCAAGTTGCTCCCCAATCATCAAGATCATCTGTTGATAAATCATGAGGCTCCTTCAATGTCTTGGACTTGACATTATAAGAAATAACTTTGCCCCGGATAGCTAACACCAGTGTAAAATCTTTTTCATTCGCTCCTTTCACGACACAGAGCACATTAAACTCAGAGCATGTGACTATGGTTTTGCGTTCTGTCTTAGGAAATACAGATAAAATGGGTCTAAGATTGACCCGGTACTTCACAATCCACTCGCAGTAATCCCTGCGCATCTGAAGGATTCTGAATCCCATAGCACAATGCTGAGGAGTCTGAATAAGAAGCAAATCGCCACCACATTCTCCAAAATACCTAATCTTATCATAAGAATGGATTTTAGGGTTTCGAGGCATTGGGGTTTGTATCAATTTCTCTTCCTCAACCTCAAATCGAGCATGAACATTCGCATAGCTTATACCATGAATTGCTCTGTTCCAAAACACGCTGAACATGAATCGCACACCTCGCGGTTCAGGCACAGAAATATGTTTCCAAGACGAAGTCTGCGAACTGTAAATTTCAATTTCAACCCAGTGTCCATCATTAACATTGCTGTAACTAAACAATAAAACTTTATAGTGAGGCGATTTCGAAGGATCAAAAGCCAAGAAAGCACCAGCATTTTTACGATACGATTCAGATGAAGTGGGACCAATATCAGGAAGAAGTGAGAATTTCTTTGTGGTGAGATTACAAACAATATATGGGGGTTTTCTGAAACCATTAGAGCACAAGATTAAACCATTGCAAGAGCGTTCAATCCTAATTGTACAACTTGATACAACGACACCATCGAGAAAGGAGAGTGTGGGAAGAAGAGTTCGGTGTCCAGCAATTGATACAGACTGGGGTTGTTCATCGAGAGACCAACGGTTTGAGTAGAAATATAAGGCTGAGACGGAGGAATGGTGATTTCGGCGAGCGTGGTCGGAGGCGAATTGGGAGTCGGAGATGAGAGAGAGCCATTGCTTTGAGACCGACTTGAATCTGATTAGGGATTTTGCTGGGACTCGGATTAGGATCTCTGTTAGGAGATCTGAATTGTTGGCAATTAATTCAGCAGCGAATGAATGTTCCGAGGAAGTACAGCCGATGATAAGCTTTCTTCTGCTTCTT